TATATATATATATGTGTGTATATATATATATGTGTGTATATATATATGTGTATGTATATGTATATGCGTATATATATATGCGTATATGCATGCCTGCATGCATATGCGTATATGTATATGCGTATATATATATGCGTATATGCATGCATGCATGCATATGCGTATATATATATGCGTATATGCATGCATGCATGCACCCTTTAGGTCTGAAATTTAAATCTTCTAAAGCAAGATTTCCCCAAGAGAAACCCATTTCCTCCAGCTATCCTCCGCTCTTCTCTTCCTGACGTTGTGTGGCCTGCTGCTTGATGCCTCCATGCTGTCACCGTGTTTGAGTCATGGCTTTGCATGTTTTGTATGTTTGAGGAAATAAGATCTAAGCCATGAGACATGACCTCACGTGGATTCTGTGGATGAATGTGTCCTTATGCACGGTATAGACCGATATTTTTAGTGCGCAGCGGCTACTGTTTTGCCACGACGTCCTACAGTGTGTGGAGTTCACGGTTATATTTGACAAGTTTAAATCCTTTGTTTTGCCCCTTTGTGCTTTGGACATTTCCGGAATAATAATCTTTCAATAACGAGACAATTTAAGAGAGTTAAAGTAAAATGTTTCTGTTTTCTTTCTCCAGGAGTGTGGCACAACTTTGTTCTGTGTGTGGCAGCGTTAGCCTTCCTCTTCCTGTTGCCCTTCTTACTGTTTCCTGTGTACTCCACCGGCGGCGGGGCGCTGGTCACCGAGGTCGTCCAGGTCAGTGCAGCAGGATTTAAAATGTGTGAATCCTTTTATCTAAATGTTGAGCCTAGTGGGTCACATTTACATTTACTCTGTGAGGAACAAAATGTAAAATCATGACTTAGTGACGTAGTTTTCCGATGTCACAGTAATTAATAACCTTTATTTATGTCATGTGCTCCCTACACATTCATATAACCCTCAAAGTATGTCTCTTGAACTCGTTTCTACATCTGCCTGTGTCTTTGGAGCAGGGCTCTGCAGCTGACGGTCCCCGGGGTCTGGCCGTCGGGGACATAGTGACCGGGCTGGAGGACTGTCCTGTCAGGGGAGTGGAGGACTGGAGCAGCTGCCTGACTCACCTCTCTCACACCCCACAGACCGGGTACTGTGTCCCCGGCGCCAGCCTGCAGCCCAGCTGGGCCCACGGTCGAGGTGAGTGTGCAGTTCTTACAGCGATGGCACCCGACAGTTCTGTCAAAGTACAAACAAGACGAGTGTGATTCAGTCAAGAGTCAGCAGTAGAGACTTTGATTTTGTTAATTCAATGACATCTCACTGTAATAAATGTAAGAAACATAACTCATCTCTTGCTTTAACGTATAGTTTGTGAGTTGAATCAGATCAAACCCACAGAGCAGCAGCGGGAGCTGTGACTGGCCAGCTGTAAGCTGGAGTCATGTGTGAGGTCAGAGCTCAACAGCTGGCCAATCAGAGCTCCTGTTGCTTCTCTGTGGTCCTCAACTATTCCAGTGGCAGACTTTCATCTGTATCAAAATACCATCATTTCATGTAGAGCTAGTCACTTATGTCATGAAGTGTGTGATGCTCTGTCCTTGTCCAATCATCTCGTATGAGTGCATTTACCAACTGACAAACATCCATCTTTTACTTTGCAGCCTCCATTCATCCCTTTTTGTTATTCTTTCCTATTTCTTAGCTTTCAAGCGTTTGGATGGAACGATGGACTGCTGCAGCAACAACAGCCTGACAGACCTCTGTTTCTCTTACATGAGACCTCCGGGCAAGAACAGCAGAGAGAGAGAGGTGACACACACACACACACACACACACACATACATTCAGACAGGCTGGGACTTTTTGTGACGGCTTCATCATGTGAGCATGTTTCCAACCAGACGGTCAAGCATATTTATATTTCTTCCTTTTATTCAATTCACTTCCTTTTTCTTCCCATTTTGTGCCACGGTGTTTGCTACTACATGAGTTAAGTTCACAACGAATGATGCACGAAATCAGATTTCAACATTGTAGTGTTAAAAGATAAACATAGCATCTTAATACTGGAGATATAAGAAGGACGGGGTAGCACACATCACCGAGGAGCAAATGGATGTATGTGGCTCCCTCTCATGCTTTCCTCCTGTGCCCCTGTGGCTGCAGTACGCCTGCATGCCGGTGCGTAAGATGGTGTCGGGGACGCAGGTGTGTCGCACCGACGCCGACTGTGTCGACGGGCACGCCCACGTCGACGGCATTTGCGTCACCCCGTCTCTGGAGAACCAGACGCGCTTCATCCGCGTCACACACCTGCCCAACACACACATGCTGTTCGTGGGGTATCCGCCGCACCTGCAGTACGCCGGTACGTTTGTTTTATGAAGACGTAGAAGTGTATTAAATGTATGATAGAAATACCTACTGTAAAGTTATATATAATATTTGATTCTTGTAATTTCAGTGTAAGAGTTGCAACGAGATACTTTTTCACTCCTAGAAGGAGACGTGAGCTTCGTATAATTGGTGTTTACAGTGTTGAGCTGACTCTCCGGTCGTTAGGTGTCTTGCATTAAAGGGGCAAGAAGAGGCTTGTTGTCTTGAGTGTTGAATGGATCAGCTCTTTCTGTGACCACGTGTTGTCTTTCCACAGTGAGTTTGACCAATTTCATCCCGCGCTTCGGTTTCCTCCACCTGGATCTGCCCGTCTTCTTGGAGACCTTCTGCAAGTATCCTTCCATGTTTAAGAGAGCTGATGGATGTAAGAGGAGTTGACTGACTCAACATCGGAACAAACAATGTTAAAGGATAGAAGGGTAATACAAGCCCTTGTTTGGCAGAGCACCATCTGTTCTGTCTAAATGATGAATATTTTACCCTTCAAACTGGTGATGAAGCATTAAGATGAACATAGTCTGGTGTCTGTTATTTCTACATAAAAGTCCCCTTTTTAACATCTCATCATTTTGCTCCACAGTCAGCAGACCCGATGAACTTCACAAGTCTGATTGCTGTGACTCAGAGCAGGGATTTAACCCTTTGCTGCATAGATGTGGACTTCTCTGATTGCAGTACTGCTGCATTCACTGCCGTTACTGTTTTTATACGCATATTCTTTTGTGTCTGGTGGGATAGAAGCTAAACATTCAGTGTGTGTGTGTGTGTGTGTGTGACGTGTCATAGATGAAGGGTGAACTTCATACAGTAGTACCTTCCTTAACCCTCCCGTCTCTCAGATATGTGGTGTCCCTCTCCGGCGCCTTAGCCGTGGTGAACTCCGTGCCGTGCTTCGCTCTCGACGGTCAGTGGATGCTGAACGCCCTGCTGGAGGCCACGCTGGTCACGGTGGTAACGGACCGCCAAAAGCGCGAGCTGATTGGTTTCTTCCTGCTGCTGGCGGGCAGCGCCCTGCTGGCAGCCAACGTGGCGCTGGGCCTGTGGATGGTCACAGCGCGGTAGCCACAGCGGTGACAAAAAACCGAAATGAGTAATCCCCCGTGTGGACTGACAGTTGTTCTCTTCAGGATGCGTTTCGACACGCGTGGACCATCTAACTGTGAACATTACAGGGAGCAGACTGCATTACCCAGCAGTGCCGCCCGAGCAGAACATCACTCTGCCTCTAAGGCTTTACTGGACCACCAGGGAAAACAATAACCAACCTTCTTCCACCTTGTTGCCGCCATATTTACTCAGAAAGCACATACACAAATAAATAATGCACTTACCGCAAAGCACTGTCCTGTGACTGTTTGCAAAGGCTGCACATCCTTTCCAAATGTTAATACCTGTGATGTGTTGACAGTTTGAGGGAAAGCCGTCTTGTGGTCGTTAACAAAGATGCCATATTTTACTGTAGACGCGCCGCTCGTCTCGGCCTCGGTGTGCTGCAGAGAGATGCTCACGTAGGTTAGACTGGTCAGAGAAGAGATGTTTGAAAAGCCTTACAGTTATTGGCAAATGGATGGCAACACCTCGGATCTCTACGACAAATGTACTACCTACTATTGATGTGACAGAAACTAGCTTCTTATACGTGTGTGCATTCATTAGTTAATGAAGATGACTCCGCCAACATTTTGTAATATCGAACAAATGTTTAAAGGCGGGCGGTCCCGTTTGGAAGTGAAACGGATTTGCTCCGCTAAGTGTCTTTCTCTTCCTGCTGGGAAAACGACTTTCTCTTTGAACCTTTTCTAACTATTAGTCTTAAGTGTACGTTTCATTCTCACTCTCTTGGCCGCTCACTGTCTGGTCGTGTGTCACACTTGTGTATTTGTGGAATAAAAAGACTGCTTTAATTTAAGTGCTGTCTTTCAAACTGTTTTTATAAGTCAACGAGTTTATTTAGATTCGATTTTTTTTAGATTAGATTCAACTTTATTGTCACGGTTAGCACCGAGGCAACAAAATGCAGTTTAGTGTCTAACCAGTGCAGAGTGAAACATTTATTTATTTACTCTTTATTCCCTGTTTCATTTTGTAGTTAAATCTTTCTTCATATTATATATCAGCTCATATGAATCTAGCATTAGACGGGTATGGACTCCATGGCCTTTATTAGTTTCCTTGTGTCCTTTTTTAATATTGCTCACTAGTAGTTCAACATCTTCTAACATTTAATAGGAAATTTAATGCTTTCATTAGTTTTATATTAGTTGAAAAGGGTCTTTAAATGTGCAACATGCAGGCAGCCCGGTGTTCCTCTCGGGAGAGCGCACCTTTGTGGTTTTAATCACAGCATGTTACTACACTACACTTTTAGTAACAGCTCCAGACCGCAGTGTTTCTTCAGCGCTTTCAGGAAGTCTTGCAGTGATTATGTTTCCTGAGCGTGAGAGATGACAGATTATAATTTGGAGGGTGTTTCCTACAGACGCATAAATACTGATCGGCCTTCAACTTCAGCCACAGAGGTGTGTTTACCAACGGCGAGCAGACACCTCTGTCAGCAGGTTTAAAATCGTTGCCTTTTGGGAGCCTTTGTCATTGAATAATTGGGGTTCGTGGGCGGATCGGACCCTGTTGCATGCAGGAGTTGGCGTCTCTTGTTGGCGTGTGTGTTTGTGTTCAGATAAGCTATTTCGAAGGCTGATGTTCTCTCCCTGATATATGTGAAATGATGTGTCCTTGCATGTGTGTTGTGGTTAGCTTATCTTGTGCTAATGACAGCCTGGAGGGATGTTTGTGTAAACAGACATGGGAGGATGATGTAGAGGAGGAGGAGGAGAGGCCAGAAAGGAGGCATGTTCTGACTGTCTGCTTCACATTGAGAGATGAGCCCCTGAATGAACTCTTCGGCCTCTGTGGTAATGGGACGAAGAGTCTGCAGTGATGCCAGAGGCTGTTACTGTACTCGGACACAGCTGAGCTTTGAGGTAAATGGTCATATAAACTGACTGACACAATCAAAACTACAGCAAAGGGCCCCATAGTTGAGATGTTAAACAGTAAGAATAAAAACAGGACACAAGTGATTGTGAGTCACAATGGTGAACGATAGCATAGTGGTCGATGTGTCTGCTTGATGAATGGGTGTTTTAAGCACCACAGGAAGTCACGTCTATATAAGGTCTTTTTGCGGCCGACGCCCCAAACCCTAATGAGCACGTGCAAAAACGAGTTTCTCACCACAGCAGGGGGAGGTTGAGGGACCAATCAGGATCCGTGGTGTCATTCTCATCACCACCTCTGTCTATTCAAAGCAACTATTGATGCGTTTGGACCATCTCATCATCGTTATCAGATTAATCAATTGTAATCAGCGCTCTGTGTGTGTGTCTAATTTTGTTCTGGCAACTGACTGTCTGATCTGATAAACGTTTCTAGCAGAGCACCCTGCAGAGAGCACACGGTCAGCGGCCCCTTAAGCTACACGGTTAAACACAGATATGTTCTGGTTTCATTTTATTAAATGATGTCTGGTGATCACTGGTAAGCCTGGTCTGCTCTGTCCTAGGGAGGGAGGGAGGGATGGGAGGAGTGTTGGGGGAGAGGAGGAGTGATGAAGGGAGGCACTGTTTGAAGAGCTGTAGTGAAGTTAGAGTAGTTACAGATAGACAGATGGCAGCAGAGAGAGACAGTTAGGGGAAAGTGAATAAAGTCTGTTAAATTGGGAAAGAGACCAGATTACATAGAGAAAGTGTGTAATTTAAGGAAGATGTTACTTTAACTTTTTGGATTTACTTTTGTCCCTAAACTTGTTTTTTTTCCAGATATTTTTACTTTCTGATTTATCTTCTCAGTGCTGAAGAGTTAGGTTTTTAGAGAGTGTGTGTGTGTGAGCGTGTGCGTGTGTGTATTTATGTGTGTGAAATAGTAGCAGTGCGTTATGGAACTGGAGCGTTTAGGGGGTGGTGGGGTAAAACCCGAGAGGGGCAACAGTCGTCTCTACAAGATAGCACTGGCCATGTGTGTGTGTCTCTGTGCCGCCCTGCTGCTTGCACTCATACTGGGTAAGTCCACCACACACACACACACACACAAAGAGATCCACACACATTTTTCTTCAACCTGCATTATAATTTGTAAGGAATTCAGTGGAAATGTATTGCACACTGTCCTCAGATTATAGTACATGCAGACTGTAAATAACACATGCAAGCAAGCTGGTGGGAGCAAAGGTCTTTGTGGAGGGCTTGTGGGTAACTTGTGTTCAAACTATTTTTGGTTCATATACGGTTTCATACACACCCACGCACACATGCAGAACCTTCTACTCTCCGTTATGCACCGTGGGAGTTAAGTTGAACTCTGGGGAAAAAGAGGAAAGAATGTGTGCTGTCACTTTGTGGGTATTATCTCCTGCAGAATGTGAAATTAACTAGCAGGGAATCGTGTGGCAGAGCAAGGGGTGGGGTGTGTTTTTATTTGGTTTATTTATAGGGGGGGCAGCGCACATTAACACTGTAGTTTTAAAAAACTTTAATATAGATGTGTCAGGAGATAAATTGGCTAAGAACAGGCAAAGAAGTTATGATTCATAACATAACGTCAGAAATAAGAGAGGAAATGGAAGAGTATAAATACTTTGATCTGATAAAATTAGGAAAGTTTATTTCTACGGCACCTTTCAACAACAACTTAAGACACAAAATGCTTTAAGATAAAGGACAGTGTAAAAGACAATTGGCTATAAAACATGCAAACAATGTAGAAATAATCCATTTTTTAAGATCTAACCAAACCTCCAGTTGGATTTGAAATATGCTCTATTATTATTATTATGCGTTATTTCCATAGGTGGAGAATTCCAGATATGTCCTGCTGTCAGAGAAAAACATTTGAATGGAACAATGCAGTCAAATCGAGCTACTTCCCTTATTTTTTTTGGAGTTGCTGTCCATGAGTTTAGAGAAGTGGCTCAGATGAGAATGTCAGGATACGAAGGTTGGCTGAGATATTTTATTACAAATAGAATATCAAAAGGTAATAAATAAAAGTCACTGTGTCTATGAGAAGTGTTAATAAATATGTCACATGTAATCAGAAGAATCAAAAGAGTATTTTCATGCGTTTGTATTCAGGCTGTCCAATTTTAAAAGCTGAAAATGCATCGACACCAGAAGAGCCCAGAAAACAATGCATGAAAGTCTGACGGTAGCGCTGAAATGACTCGATTGTCTCTCTATTGCTTTGACAGCGTCGACCGTTTCTGTTGAGAAAAGCTTATGAATTGACATCACAGTGCGCCTCTCTCTCTCTCTCTCTCTCTCTCTCTCTCTCTCTCTCTCTCTCTCGTTAAAGGTCAATCTAGCTCACCCAACAGTCGATCCCTCTCTCTTCCTGCAAGAAGGTTTTTCCTTAAATAGAATTAAAATGTCGGTGTTCTAAGTGAATGGGTGTAATGTTCCGCACAATCCACAGCAAAAAATAAACATAGATTCTATGTTTTCATTTTAGCACGATTTAAGTATACCCGTGTGTGCTGCTTGTAATAAATAGCCTACAAACTGTTGTGGGAAATATTAACCTATCTCTGCATTGAGTGTCATAATCAACCAGAAATGCTAGTCGCCTTCCACCTCATGATATCAATTCTGTTTTAGCGAGACTACCAGTTGGAAACCGTCAAAGGAAGGCTAACAATACTAACTTCTGTAATTAAAAGGCCCCGCCAAAATCACTTTGGCCCCTCCGAAATGGAAATCCTGGCACCGTGCCTGAAATCAACTTTTGGGCAGAGCAAAGCAAGCTGTTTCCACCTTCTTTACACTCTTTGTGCTAAGCTACGCTAATTGGCTCGTGGCTGTAGCTTCAAATTTAACGGACAGACATGAGAGTGATATCAATCTTATCGTCTCAGAAGAAAGCAGCAAAGTGCTAATAAGTGTATTTCCCAAAATGTTGAACTTAAAGAGTCAGTAGTTGAGTAGTTTCCGTAGTGAGGACGGTCGTGGCTGGGAGGGGTGCACTGCTTGTGTGTGTGTCTGGGGTGGGGTAAGTATTGTTTTTTTAGTTTGAGGGGAGACAACATTCTTGTGGTGGCATTGATGTGCTTCTGAAAAGATGTGCTTCTGAAAAGTCTGTTTGTGTTTGTGTTGTTGGGAACTGTTTGGTGTCTCAGTAGTGAACATGAGGTCGGTATTAGCCGTGACACTGGAGCCTCAGACATCTGTGTCGGTGTTCAAACCCCTGGGCCCTGTGTATATGTTTCTGTCGGAGCATTCAGGGGAGGGTTGTTGAGGTTGTTCCAGGCCAAGTGGTCACGCAGGGTTGAAGTTATAAGTATGTGTATCTACTGAAAGTGGACGCAACATTGAGCAACTCTCACAAGCAGCTAGACAGCGAGACCGGTCAACCTCGGAGGTCAGACATTACGGCGCAGCTCCGCAACGCTCCACTCATCCGTTCACAAAGGGGGGATTTGGTTTTCTAAATCTGTCCATTCACTTCGTGGGCTTGTGCTGCCTCTGTTCGCCCTCAGAGCCACATCACACAATGGTTGATTTCTGCCAAGAGGTCAGAGAAGCAGGGTTACATTCACCTTATAGGAAGGGATGTGAACAGGGAAACCTGTGGTCACACTGTGAGTAGCGTAAACAAAGAGTGGTATTGTGGCGTTCTGCTGTCGGTCAAGTTTAAATTAGAATCTGATGTATGTTTTGCAAAGATTTGCTTGTGATTTAAGGCATGAGTCTATATCACACAGCTAAAAGTCGACTGTAGGTGGGGACTTTCTTTGTTGCAGGCAGGCATAAGGTTAAAAATGTAATCTACTGACTGCCCTCCAGCTGTATCAACTGCACTTTGGCCTGTGTTTATGCCGTTTTTGTGTAAGTTTTCCTGGTTTGTCAGTTCTATTACTGCAATACTTTCTGCCAATACATCGATTATGTGAATGTGTGCTCAAGAACTACGTTTGAGGTTCTGTTGAGCAAAGCAGCCAATATCCCAACGACTGCCCAATGGCCACCGAACAGCAGAGGTCTAAATGTGAGTGGATGTGAAGTGGGTCGGAGCTGCAAAAGAACATGCATGCAACCAAAAAGTTCTACATTTGTTCAAAACAACTCTTGTTTTTCTTCCTTAGTCTCTCAGAAATCTAGTCAGGAGGAGTTCTGTCTGACCCCAGAATGCATTGAAGCAGGTGAGGAGTGCTGGTAAACAGTCACGTCACGTACAATTGCTCTGACCATCCACTATTGTTTGTATGGTAAAGCTGGTTGAGCATGAGGTATTTCAGTTGTAACTCAAAGGTTTTTATTCCAACTCTCTGGGTTGTGTTTTTTATTTTTTGTCTCCTTCTTTCTTGTAGCGGGGTCTGTTCTGAGTAAAATGGATCAGTCCGTTAACCCCTGCGAGGACTTCTATAGTTTCTCCTGTGGCAGTTGGTTAAAGGAGAACCCGATCCCTGAAGATTCCTCCTCGTATGGCATCTACCCTTGGCTGCGACAGAATGTCGACCTACGACTCAAAGGTGTGTGTGCCCACAAATTTCCCATGAAAGTACAAAATTGACCTAATCACACATGAATGTTCTATCAAAAGAAAATAACTAGCTGTATACTTTTGGTAAACACATGAGAATGATCTGTAAAGAAATGAGACTTTGATTCAGGTACAGGTTATTTTTGGAGCTGTGAGTTATGACAGATTTTTTTTTTGCCAGAGTTACTAGAAGCTCCTTCAGACCCTGATGAACTGGAGGCTGTGACTAAAGCTAAGATCCTCTACCGCTCCTGTATGAATGAGAGTGAGTCCGACACACACACACACACACAACAAACTTGGTTTTGTCACTTAACAGGACATTGCATTGACATACATCCATTCCTTGGAGACTTAGCCTAGCCTAGCCTTGACCATATCCATAACCACAAGATGCATAACACAAATTCATACCCTAATCCTAGCCTTTACCTAATCCTAACTGCTAAAGGGAGGTGAGTCCCCGAATCAAGTATAGTCCCCACAATGTCACCTATTGTACCCAGAGTGTAAGTACTACAAACACACACACACACACACACACACACACACACACACACGCATTCAGCCTTGTGGGGATTGTTTACATAACCATAACCATCCCAACTACATACCTGACACTTAACACTCAACTTAAATCTAAAGCCAATTCTTTCATCAATCCAAAAACCAAATCTTAACACTCAGGTAGCTCTATGAATAAGTGAGGGCCAGCCCAAATGTCCTCACAATTCAAAACTGTCCCCACTCTCCATGTCTCCAAACAGGTCCTCACAAAGGCACTGTAAGTCAAGAGCACACACAAAGACACAGTGATAGACTAAAGTGGGACAAGATGAGCTTTTATTGATCCGCGTGGCAGATCTAGGTCATTGCAGAAGCAAAAGCAATAAGATACATCAGGTGGAAAAGGGGAAATAGCATTAAAAAAAGAATACAAACATGAAAAATAATTAAAACAACAAATCAAAATGCTGTACTTAATTGTATTCCTGTGTGTGCTTATATAGCTATACTGGAGAAGTTGGACAACAAACCCATGCTGAAAACACTTAGACAGCCTGAGTTTCGGTGGCCCGTTGTGGGGGATGGGCTCGGCGGGGAGTACCAGTGGTCGGCGGTGGAGTGGAGCCTCCTGAAGACTCTGACAGAGATGAGGAACCAGCACAGTAAGAGTGTCCTGATTCGCCTGTACGTCAGCCCCGATGACAAAAAATCCTTACAATACGTCATCAAGGTTAGACATCCACTGACACGCACATTTTCAAAATCTTTTTGTTTGACATTTTGGAAAATATGCTTATTTGTCCGACACCCCGAGTTAACCATGAATTGTGATTTTTACAGTTTGTATTGTGAATACAATTAAACAAAAAAATGAGATTAAGAGGTGCTGATAAGATTATATACACTTTTAGATTGTTTTATCTTTCATTTCCAGTCTTCACTGTATGTCCTAAATAAGCAAACTGGCTGCCCTACTGTATATTTAGCTGTCAGATATGAGTGGTATGTCATTTAACTGTCATCAAGAAAGCAAATAAACATATTTCCTTAAATGTGGAACTATTTTTCTAAAGGACCATACCCGTGGTTTTGTGGATTTTCAATTAAGTGCATATTGTGAATACTTTTACCACTTTTTTCTTCTTCTTTAATGCTTGATTCTAAGACATAATAAAAGGAACAATCTAATAGATTTGGGTGTGAAAAATGTTTTGGTACTTTGGTTACTAGCAGCTCTTTGTTTTTCTCATCTATTATGCAAAGCTCAAATGGGAACCAACCAACTCAAATCTAAGATGTCAGAGCCGTTTTAAACACACAAGGAAAAGGATTCAAAACAGTAACTCTGATTGAATGATAGTAAGACTTCACTGTGATGGATCTTAAATAATGATTTTTGTACAGTAGTGAAAAACGGAGTAAAATGTTGCCTGGAGGATAAGTAACATCTAACAACTTGTGTTCAAATCTTTGTAACTAAAAGATGCTGAACCACTAGCGTGGACATGTAAGCAGATTCAGTGCCTTGCTCAGTCACATTTCTCAGACTTTTTTTAAAGTTAGAAAAAAAACAATCCCGCCCAAAGAGTAGCAGAAGATAACCTATGCTCTTTGTCTTCATGTAGCTCGATCAGGTGTCCTTGTCTCTGCCCTCGAGGGAAGACTACATCACCAACACTTCCTCTGCCCGGGCGGTGAGTCTCTGCCTCATCTTTCACCCCTGTTTTACCTGTCATCTAAAAACTCCTCTTCCTGCAGCTATTTCCTTCCTGCTTGAGTGATGAATTGTAGCAAAAAAGAATTTCAGTCTCATGAAATACAGTTAGAGTTTTTTTTTTTTTTATCTGAACAACTGCGTCTTCCAGACTCAACATTCTTATAAATGCTAGAGAGCCATAATGCAAGAAATGAATTGCAGAAGAGTCAGCTGATACTGATAGCTGCCTCATTAGGTCTGAATTAAAAATGCAATTAGCATGCAGCGACTTACTATCAGTTGTAAAGAACATACTTCATCCACAAACAACCTTCGTCCGCTATATTTGCGCTTTTTCGGCGCTGTGTCCGCCATTTTTGTATCTTCCTCTTGGATGCGAGCTGACGATCTGGCACCTGGTCGATACGTTTTTAAAGAGGATCTTATCTACCATGATGGCTCTGGTAATTTTGAATTTATTTTTTTGTGTTTTGTATCATTTTTAATTGTATTGTAGTGTAGTTTATATTAGATTAATCTATATTGTATGTACATTTCTCCTAAGTCCATTTGGGCACAAGCTGTACTGTAAATGGTGTTAGTACTGGTATTGTTTAATTTTCTTTGTGTCTGTCCCTTAAAACAGATAATAATAAAACAAGTATGAATGTTAATGAATACCACATTCTGATACAGCTGCACAATAGTTTCTGAGTGTGATTGTAAGGCCTTGATTGATGTCTGATGGTGTCTGATGTTCGGTAGTGACAGTAGCTCACAGCAATGAGAGATTAAATGAAATTTGTCTTTCTGCCATTTTCTGCTTCTCTCCCTCCTCCTCCCTCCTTCTTTCTCTCTCCCCCTCTTTCTCCAGTATCGTGCCGCCTTGCTGAGTTTGATGGTAGATACGGCCGTCATGCTGGGCGCTCCAGAGAAAGCAGCACTGACCCAGATGAAAGAGACTCTCGACTTCGAGACCAAACTCGCTCATGTAAAGACGTCCCGTCAGATGAATATTATCCCACCGAGTGTATGGAGATGATCTGATAGGCCTCAATGGCTCCGGAGCTAATTAATACATTTATTAACAGTTAAATTGATTTGAAATTATTCAAAGTGACTTAATGTTTAAATTTGGGAACAGTCATGTCTGTATAACATTGCTCATTGTGTCTGCAGATCCTGATTCCCTATGAAAACCGCAACAGTGACAACATGTACAACAAATGGTCACTCTCTGACCTACAGAGCTCCATTCCACAGGTACTGTAAACAACAACAACACATCTAAATAGCAAAAATCAATTCATATCTCCCCTTGTTTCTCGAAAGTAAGACAATGTCGACGTCATAACAGGTTGATCAGTAAAATAGTACATGTTTACCATCAGTTCGAAAATGATATGTACATAACTTGAGGAACTGACATCAACTCTTTTAAAAAAAACATTATTTCTGTCAGAAAAAAGAGCGGAAAAGTAACACAATTTGTTTAAATACATGTGGTATACCTACATGTTTTATAAGTAACCTCTACTGTATATGTCCCGTCTGTCTGCAGTTCGATTGGCTGGGTTTTGTAAAAGCTGTGGTGGAGTCTAAAGTCGACCCGGGTCGGTCCATCTCCCCCTCTGAGTCCGTTATTGTCCGAGCGCCGCAGTACTTCAAAGAACTTTTCAAGCTCATTAACACCACAGATAGCAGGTACACACACGAGCAGCCAGACAGAGAACACATACAGACAGATGAGCACACAGTGGGGCTCGAGGTCTCCTGTCTCTCATTATAAGTATATTATAGTGTATAATGAGATTACATGTAGGCACTTAATTAATGTCTCTCTCTCTCTCTCCCTCTCTCTCTCCAGGACTGTAGCTAACTACGTACAATGGAGGACAGTTTTATCCAGGATCACCACCCTGAGCCGGCGTTTCCTTTACAGATACCTGGACTTTGCTCGGGTTGGTACAGAAATAATCCTCCAAAATATATGTCCACATTTGGAGATTGTTACGTTTTTAGATCAACTGAGAATTAAATGTGTTGTGGGGTAAAAACTCATTAAATTATCAAAAAAAAAATACATTTTAAAGATGCATGGTTTGTAGCTCTTGTAGCTGTCCTACCTTAAACAGCATGTTTGGCTGTGAAACACTGGAATTTGGTTTGAATTATACAACATACGTATCTCTACTTTATACAAGAGGAGGCCTGAATTCCTAGTGTATTTAACAAACTATAAATCTACCCGACCAAACTAATCCCAAATGCAACTACGGATGACTCTCTAACCTTTAACGCACCACTAAAGATCTGTCCAGATTTCCACACTAGCAGTCATCGGTCTGTGCTACATACTGATTTTGCACTATACTGTTTATATCGGCTAATATACAAAAAAAATCATGTACTTGTACTCTGGTCTGTAGCTACCATTGGATTTGGTGTTTAACAACCTGATTTTGAGTAATCAAAACTGACTCGGTGAATTCAATTTTGATTACTTTTGGGACATAAATCAATAAAGGATTCAATATTTTTCCACCAGATTTGCATTCCTGGCAGTGTGAACAGGGCCTTGAAACAGCATCGGAAATACAATTTAATAAAATATGACAATCCAATTAATAAAATACAGCCTTTCTTATGGGTAATTAAAAACCTCTTCAGATGATCTCAGCCCTGCTTGTACTGTTTTGAACCTACAGGTAAGACAAGATATGACCCAAACAATATCAAGTCAAACTGAACGATGCTGCATTTTGTTTAAATGTTTTGTAGCTGTGAGTAGCTCCTTCATTTCCTTTGTGTATTGAAAGTCGGTTGGTAAAAACTCACAGCACCTTTCAAAACCAGTGTCACAAAGTGCCTCACAGCTACAAAAACAGACGAAACAGAATATATGAATCAAAGACAAGTGTATCTACAGAATAAGAACAAATCAGGGCATCAAAAAAATGCCTTTGAGAAAACATAGGTCTTGAGATGAGATTTAAAACACTCTCATTGGACGGTCATTTACTGTGCAACTAGTATGCGTATTTATTCCAGTTGCAATGGACACATCTTCAGCTTCATATAATGAAAGCCTTAAAAAAATGTAAGTCCACTCTTAACTTTTCTCAGTCTTTGGTTTTATGTTCCTAAATGTTCATAACAGTAATTAGAGAGCTAAGAAAGCTATTTCATTTTAAATGCTTCGTCTTTCTACTTTGAAGTGCTTAGAGGGAGCTCCAGATGAACGTTATAGAACACAAATTATGATATATGTGAAAAAATGTGTCATACTTAAATATCACTCCCAACATTCCCCATACCAAGTGATGATTCACAGGCTGAGAGACTCTTACACTCTAAGTTAGGGTCATGTGGAGGAAGACACAATGTCACCTTGCATCTCTGTCTCCGCCCCCCCCCCCCCCCCACCAGGTAACCACAGGAACCACCTCCCTGACCCCGCGCTGGGACAAGTGTGTTAACTACGTCGAGAACACACTTGGTTATGCCACCGGGCGCCTCTTTGTCAACACACACTTCGAGGAGGACAAGAAACACATGGTGCGTGTGCTCTGGAAATGACATCATGTCCTAAATCGTGGGTCAAGTGCTCAGATTTTTGTATATCTGTAACAGATGTGTGTACTGATTTGAGTGTTTTTTTGTCTACGCATCACCTGGAAATGATGTCAGACATTTAATGTTGTGTCATCTGCGTCATTGCGGGTGTGTGTTTATGTGGCAATGCATTCTCTGTAAACGGTCTGTAGTTAATTTGAGTGCGTGTTTCCTCAGATGGAGGAGCTGATCGAGGGCGTTCGCTGGGCGTTCATCGACATGCTGGAGAAGGAGAACGACTGGATGGATGAACCAACGAAGAAGAAAGCAATAGAGAAGGTAGGAACAGCTGACATAATAGGGAATAGGGACCTAAAAAAACCCCAACATGACTGCATTTAGCTGCTACATCTTTATTTTTCCAACTATCTCTTTAATTCTTATGTTACAAAGCCATTTTTGTCAGGGCATCGTGGCCGTGACTCTTTATTGCTTGAAACAGATTTTGATCCTGTTCAGTTCCTGTTATGTAAAAATCTAAACTCTTCATCACATTCACTTCTTTGTCTCGCTCTCTCAAGGCTCATGCGGTCCTGGCTAAAGTTGGTTATCCCGAGTTTATTCTGAACGACACCTACCTCAATGAAGATTTAAAGCAGGTTTGTTTCAAGTTGACTTTCCTCTCCCGATGGTATATTTTCCCACCTTGAGCTTAAGTTTGTGCTTACTTTTTGAAAAGTAAAGTAGTGCAGTTCTTAACAATGTGTGTCTTCATTTGTGTGTGTTTTAGCTCAGGTTCAGTGAGAAGGACTACTACGGGAATGTGATGCAGACGTTGAAGTTCATTGCCCAATCTGATATCGCCTGGCTCCGAAAGAGCGTCCCACGTACAGAGTGAGTGGGCTTCATATCTGTCCACTTGACACTTTGTGTTTTACTTCCTGGTTGACATGCCATAATGTGTGTGTGTCTGTGTGTGTGTTGCAGGTGGTTCACAAACCCAACGACTGTGAACGCCTTCTACAGTTCCTCGACGAATCAAATCAGTAAGATACAACATAATGATTGTTTGCTGAGACCGACATTCAGTTTAATTATTCAGAAGTTGTTCAATTCTGAAGCTCTGTCCAGACAACATGACGCTACACTGCACCTCAGTGAAATCAATTAAGTATCTGCCGTGGATGTATTATCTGGGGTATTGTTGTTCCTTTAAATTGGCTGAGTCGGCATTTCAATGTCACAAATAATTGGGAATTTGCATTAAAAACTAACTAAAACTGACAAGAGAGGACGTGCGCTGTCTAAAACAGGTGAAATGTGATCTGTTTTTTAATAGTTACCCACCATGAAGAATCACACTTTTTAATCACAAATAACCTCACACAGGCTGAAGTAGAAAAAACAATTACCCGACTTTCTGCAGTAAATGGATCCTGTCTGGACGCAGAAGAAAAACTGTTTTCATCTTCTCATTTAGGATTTCCCGCTGGAGAGCTTCAAAAACCCTTCTTTTGGGGAAGAGAGTATCCGAGGTGAGAGTAAAGAAAGGTGACACGCTCTACTTCCAGACCGAAGGAAAAGGCCCCCTCATGCTTTTATAATTACTCTGCCGTGAGCCACAGAGAAGAGCTGTGGTGGTAAGTCCTGTGGACAAACAGCATAAGTTAATACCTCGTGCTCCACAGATCATGACACTACAGCTCATAAATCATAAGTTTGTAATCAGTTCAATTTTTCATTTGTTTTTTAGTCCTATTTTTTGGGGATGTAATCCTCAATGCGATCGTACAGCAGGTTATAAAATGAAAGAAGTCTTTACACACTGGGCCCATTTTTTTTCTTTTCGATATATATTTTTTCAAACTTTTGTTTCATTTCATTAGTATGCAAATATTACGCAACTGTTTTTCGGAACAAGATCGATTTTTTCACTTTGTGGTCTTTTCCCAGGTCTCTAAGTTATGGCGCCATCGGGGTGATAGTGGGACACGAGTTTACACACGGCTTTGACAATAACGGTAAATACTGAACGCCAAGAGTAACAAACCACAACATAACGTCAGAGATTTCTAACACGGCTGCAGGGATTTCTTTGTGTGTGTGTGATGCTTTTCATGAACAGGTCGCAGGTATGACAAAAATGGCAACCTGGTCTATTGGTGGACCAACTCGTCTATAACAGCCTTCAATGAGAAGACCCAGTGTATGGTGGATCAGTATAATGGCTACCACTGGCAGGAGGCAGGCCTAAATGTAAGAGTTTGAAAAACGGTAAAATGAGCTCAAAAGTAGTTACCTGAAAGTCAGGATGAGGTCGCCTCGATCCAGTATTAACTGTGTAAACAGCTGGTGAAGGAGTACCTGTGCTGTGTGTATGTTTTGTTCCGTAGGTGCGGGGAAAGAGGACTCTGGCAGAAAACGTAGCAGACAATGGAGGAATAAGAGAGGCTTTTAGGGTACGATGTGTTTTCATACATGACGCTCTCACCAAAGAACAAAAGATCGTCTTGATCTTGCAAAAAACTAGGGCCGATGTTTTTGACCTTTCTTATGGAAAATGTATGGTGGAACTAATAAAGTTAATGATTTTATTGCATGCTAATGTGCCAGCATGAACACCAGTATCAATGCGTGGACGCTCTTATTCGTTTCCCGTGTCTTGTTTTAATTAGTTACACCTGTGTTTATGGCTGCACCTGAGCTTGTAATTTGTTTAGGGTTTATGTATTCATCAAAATGTTTATAAAATTCTTCATTCCACGTTAAGAAGCCCGAGCTTTCCCTTTATGTTTGTGTGCAGGCATACAGGCGGTGGATAGATGAGAGCAGAGGCGGCGTGGAGGAGTCTCGGCTGCCTGGAGTCGGACTGAACAACAACCAGCTGTTCTTCCTGAGCTATGCACATGTAAGGACACGCAGTCACAAACTAGGTCTTGCCCCTCTGCCAATGCCACGTTTCTGTTGTCATGTCTGAATATACTGGCAGTTTCCTATAAAATCTATAAACTATATAATCTGAAGCTGTGTGTCAAATGTACTCTGTAGGTGAGATGTAACTCATACAGACCAGAAGCAGCCAGGGACCAGGTCCAGAGTGGAGCTCACAGTCCGCCGAAATACAGGTGAGCACACACACACACACACACACGCGCGCACACACACGCGCACATACACTGATGAATACACACACAATCCTTTACAACCTGACCTTCACCATCACTGTTGCCCTGCAGGGTTATCGGAGCGATGAGCAACTACGAAGAGTTCCGGAAAGCGTTCGGCTGCCCCGAGTCGTCAGCTATGAACCGAGGTGCAGAGTCCTGCCGGGTGTGGTGACCTTTAACCTCGGCTTCACCCTGAATCCGGTCAGAGCTGCCAGCAGGACGTCTGTCGAAGAGGCAGATGAAGCTGGACTCAGCAGACGTAGTTTACATGATGTGGGAACAATGAAAAATGAGTTGTTCTCACAGAAAACACACACTTATGTTCGGGTAAGAGTGGGAAACGTTAAAGACTAAAGCCTTTCTTGATGGGCTACTGTATAGTTGTTACTGCAACATATTTTTAACTTTTTCCACAGGTACGTTTTCTACATAAATTATGACTGAAGACATTTTGTTAAGGGCCATAGTTTATGAATTATAGAAATGTTGGGAAAAGAGGCGGCCCCATTTTGCAACAACAGCCCTCTATGTACTGTAAGTGTGACTCGATGACTCGAGAACCTTTCTAATAGGAATAAAAAATGTATATTTTAAAGTAAAGGTACAACAAATAGTTTCTTGTTGTTATTTTTTACAGGAAACTATACTGTATGTCAAATATTATGGTAACTATGGTGTGCAGAGATATATCAGATCAATGTCTGCATGGATTCATTAGAAGCCAAAATTAATTTATACTTGAGCATAAATATAAGCAAAACGTTTAATATTTAGTCCAATTTTATCTCTTAAAACCTAATTTTTAGCTTTTTAAATAATTGTGAAAACTTGTATCATAATTTTGTACCTGATGTCAAAGTGTCATATTTTTAAGACCTAATATGAGGTTAAACTACTTAAGATATGTTGTGTTTGTGTGTAGGTGTGTGTGTGTGTGCGCGTGTGGGCTCTCCTTTGATACGTCTGAGTCTCGGTTTCTGTTCCACTTTGACTTGTGTCAGACATTTATATTCATTCTGCTGCAGCTCAGCCCGAGGCAAATAAACTGACTGAATTACAGGAACTCAAAGTACAAGATGCTCTCTCTCTTCCTGTTTCTGAACTGCACTGCTGAGGCGCACTCAAGCCAATAAAAACATTTCACTGGAAACGTGAAGGACATTTCCTGTGCATATCAGAAGTAATCTTTAAAATACACGATTGTTATTCCTGAACTCAATGTTCAGGTTTCGTCTTATAGATTAAAATAATTGTCACCAGAAAATGTTATGTAATGTTTTTTTTTTTATGTCTTTTCATTTCACATTTATCTGACTGCCTTTTCTTTTTTTCCGCTTCTTGACGCACTCTTATAGTTTCAACCCGAACTGATTCCAGTTGAACAATCAGTCGGGCTGCAACTGACACACATGTTCACTACCGATTGATCCGTCAATTATTTCTAAGATTCATTTTTTGGTCTAAAAAAAATGTAATAAAATAATAAAACGTAAAACAAGAAAACAAGAGCCCAATGTCATGTCTTCAAACATCTTGTTTTGTCTGTCCATGTTTAAAACCTTAAGGTATTCAGTTTGCAGTGAACACAGCAGACATTACCTATTTCTCCTTGATAAATGACTTAAAACGAATAACCAAAATTGTTGACAATTCTTTTTGCCAATTAACAAATAGATTGTTTTCTTTTCAGCGCTACAAAAAAAGCATCTCTCTAATCAACCAGAAAGGTTTATTTTGAAACGCTGAATAACAAACATCCACAACTCCACAGCGGAAATAATTAAACTGATAACACTATTATGTTTTAGCTCATTTATTCTTGTTTTCCTTCATTTATTATCTTATTGTAACTTAATGGGATGATTTTTTGCTTCTCCATCATCATAATAAATGTTATTATGTTTCACTGTGTGGCTGTTTTTGGGTTGCACTTCTTTCTTTATAGGTTCTGATAAAAGCCCGAGACACTATGCTGTCTCTTCACCTCGTAACTTTTTTCTGTGATTGATAAGGTGAGTCGAGGAACACGCGTGTTCAGGGAGATTCTGAGCGAGGGGGCAGACAGTGGATGGACGGTGCTGATGGATGGAGGACAGAAGTCATCAAGATATTGGCGTTGCATCTGAGAGCGTGTCCATTCATTGATTTTCCCTCGGACCTGCCATCGCACACATCATGTCTCATTCCTTTATTTCAGCAGTTCCCATGGCAACTTGAACCTGTCACGACTGTGTGTGTGTGTGTTTGCACATGTGTGTCTTGGGGGGGGGGGACATTAATGACTTGTATCTGTGGCAACACCGGCAGCACTCTCATCTATACACACCAATTTGAAACACAGTCCGTCGTGTGAACTGAACGTGTGTGTGTTGGTGGGAGGAAGTGGGATGGACGATAACGAGGAGAGATTTCGTTGTTACTAGCTTTGTGAGCAGCACCATGCATCAGGCCACCGGCAGCCATTCTAACTCTGATATTCATTATCAACAGCAGATTCGACCGCTGATGCACAAAATATATAAAAACACATCTTGTTTACATTTTTTTGGTACTTTCTCTGCAACATACTCCTAACATTCAGACTAGCAGTTCAGTCTATATATACATATGTATATATAGTATGCTATTTTGAATATTTCAATAACACACTTGAAACTGTAATTTTAGTAGATTCAAGCTTCATTTTTAGTATCTTTATATGTGATATATATATATATATATATATATATATATATATATATATGTTTGTAGTCTAAAGCCCCTGCAGTCAGCCCTGCTATTCAGAGACCAACATGAGAATCAATACCTGCAGCTGCCTCGAATACTCTGTGTCGTTAGAGCAGTTTATAATGAGCTAATGCCTCACTTTGTACTATTACTTCATTAAATTGTGATAAATCTATTTTAGTGGCGGCGTGAAAATGACAGTCAAAGTGATTAAACCGCTGATTTGTCCCCTGGATTCAGTCCTTCTGTAACAAAACCACACCAATCTGCAAATATTGTTTAAATCAAGTCACAGAGGGGCAGAGAATCAATAAACAAAAAGCACTGGATGCAATTAGAGCTAACCGTGACAATCGATTTAAAAGACCTTCTTACAGGCTTTAGATTTATCTCCCTTGCTTCTAAAGGCTCCCATGCGGTCAAATTGTAAGTCAATAATGTATTTTTTAAATTAAAATGTCATTATAGTTTGACCTTTTTTGGCCATTTGGGGGCAGCAGAACAAGCTGTCACCACAACATTTTATTGTTAAACATTTTCATATATATCAAATATCATAATGTTTCTTCACTCTGCTTTTAAGGTGTTGAACTTGTACAATTACAAAGAAGAGGGCATGCAGACATTGTCAAAAGAGCGTCATAGGATGTTCACTTGGAGGAGTCGGGAGGAGCAGGTCTTAGAGGCGGAGCTGTCTGGGGAGGAGCAGGAAGTGGGAGGAGCCTGGTTTGATCAGAGTCTGTCGTGATTGGCTTCGGGGTGTTAGCCCTCTAGCACTACCTGCAGCAGAACCCTGTGCTCTCTTGCAACAATTGTTTCTCTGAGTGCTAATGTGAGTTTCTCTTCTCTTAGTACTTTTTGTTTGCTGTACCTTGATGCTTGAGTTTTTTACAGTTAGGTTAGAATGGTTGTTCAGTGTGTTTGTTCGTGTCAGTTGTAGGTTAGCTAGATATTTCCTCCTTATTTGTTGTATAGTGACAAAACATGGAACATACTTTCTGTTTAGATTAAACCACAATGTCGACAATAAGTCACAATTGAAGTGAACTTTTCCGGTGTCTCATAGTGAGTGACTGCAGAATCTGTAGTGTTAATAATCATAGTTCTCAACAGAAACCCCTCATACAGTCCTCAATGGGGAATGAGTTGAGATGTGGACATTAATATGGACCTGAGGCGGAGTTTACTCATGTGTTTCAGGGTAGAAACTGCTCTTTATAATCATGCATGTTCCATTTTGTGCATCATTTCCTTCTGTTTTATTACTTTTGGGGTTATGTTGAGAGTTTCCTATATTTTTGAATGTATTTGTGACCTCCAGGACAAAGCACAGGTCTGCTTTATTTGCCGTCATTATAAGGTCTGGGACTCCCTGACGAAGGTCTACTATATTATTAGATAGACCTGCTTGCATTGTGTGCAGTGCCCTCTTTTTGCCACATTGTAATAATTTTTAATCAAAATCTGTCCCAACACAATGCAACCCCACGGGAGCCAATCCCTCCCATCAATTGAGTGTTAATGTCCGGTATCGGCACATGCAGGAGAAAACATCCCGCCTCAGTGATTTTGGTCAGAAGATTGGACTGAAGATCAGCAAAAAGAAAACAGAAGTGGTGACTCTGAACATTCCAAATCCCTCAGCAATTCAGGTTTACGGAGAGAAGATCTCCCCGAAACTGACGAGTTCACATATTTGAGCAGCGCTGTCAGACACAATGGGGGCACAGATAAAAACATCAAGAACCGTCTTAATAAGGCACACTTTCAAAGTACTATATAACATATATTGTATCACAGCAGTACACCATCAAGACCAAACTTAAATTGTGTCAACCCTTTTTTATGGTTCTGAATGCTGGAGAATGACACAAAAAGATCTCAACAGACTATCAAACCTCCAGGAACTAGTTTTATTGAATATTATTTCACTAAATTAGCCAAAAACAGATATTCAAATCTGGTTATTTTATCTATCAACTGTTTGCCAATTGAATCAAAAGAGAAAAACAGTACTACATCCCAGTATACTGTTTATATTACTACCTTGATATATGATTAAACCCTCCAGGTTTGTCAAACCAAGCAGCAAAAGGCTAACAAGTGGATGTCAGTTTGCAATATCGGCTCTAACGGCAGCTGCTATTTCTGCCGTCAGAGGCGAAGGTGAATCAGTCCAAAAACAGACAAAATCACTATCATTTAAATTCACCGACAAGGAAAGCCACCCACTAAAAATACTGTCCAGTCATGCAGTTCTGTTTCTATCCAGTAGAGAGCAGGGAAAACAAGCCTTCTGCGCCTTTTCGAGGTGGTGTACAGTTTACACATGGCTCCAGTAATCACAAATTAAATTTCGCTTTCTGAGAGGTGAAAATGGCTCTTATCGGATATCGCATTCTGACCTTTTAGCAAATTGGGTTTTCCATAGGCACCGGTGAAGTCATCGGGCCTCCTCCAGTTCTCTTTTTCCAGCTTGTTGCTCTCAGCTCCCTCACACTTTTTCTTTTTCTGCCGCTTTCCCCTGCGATTGTGTACGTGAAAGAGAAGCAGAGTGAGTCACGTGATATGCTTTTTATCTGCATCCATCTGCATCTATCTTCTCTGTTTCTGGCCTGGAACTGTAATCGAATCTTTGAGTCTCTAAGAGGCCATGAAGATGACGTTACTGTGTTTCTCATCTCATGCCCCTCCCTGTGACCTCCCTCTTCCATCACCCTCCGCTTACAGCCTCCTTCCTGGCCTCATGAGCTAACGTCCAAATGACATTTAGAAATTATGAATGCTGCTGACCACCAAGAGGATGCAGAAAATAGAAAGACAGGAATAGCAGAGAGGAAAATAAAGATGGATAAATGGGTAGATAGGAGAGGGCGATGGTATTGAGGACATTCGTCTAGTGAGTGTTTTGTAAATCTGGAAAAACAACTGATCCACATTATATGTGAATTATTTTTTTATTTTATGGTAACCAAATGTTTTGCTGTTTAAGTTTAAAACAGCTCTAATAATTTAAAAAAAATGTAATAATGGATGAAATGACTAAGTGAAAGGTTTGCCTTTTCAGCTAATTGTTTGGTTTTCTGGGCTGCAACTCTACGCTTTCGCTTCTCTCTCGCTGCTCTCATTAATCCAGTTTTCAAATGGTTTTCAGTGTAAAAGCACTAAAACCACACTGTATGCTAGTGCTGGAGAGGTGGACGGACAAAGTTAGCAACTAGCCGGGGAACACAGTGCAGCATTTAGAAGCTAAATAGCCAAATATTTCCCTCAGGAGTTGGTGGAGACCAAAACCAGAGATAAAAGGACTTTCATCAGTTGTCCAGAAACACAATGATACATTTGTAGTATAGTGACGCTAATTCTATGATTTTTAAATTTAGATTTTTAGATTCTGCAAGAGTGGAATTCAAATATCATCCTTCATACAGCAACCTGTACGAGTACTGGTTACTCACTTCAAATATCATCCTTCATACAGCAACAACCGGTTACTCACTTCAAATATCATCCCGATTGTGATCCTGATTGTCTCCCGTCAAGCATTAGATTTTCTTAAGCCTAAAAACGGAGCCAAGACGAGGTGCAGAGGTCTAGTTTTCTATCCGATCACTTGCATTAGAATATTCTGGAAGATTATTATGGAATGTTTGCCCAATGATGTCAATATATTCTGCCCGCTGCAGCTTTAAACAACAAAAAAACCCAATGTAAACAGTCCTGTTATTTAAAAAAGCTAAAGAAAGACCAGACAAGTGGGACCATTGATAATGTAGGATGTAAAAAATGAAGGTAAAATGTTTCCGTCTGAAAGGTGAAGTTTTTAAACTTAAATGAGCTCATGCAGTTTAAAAAGTTGTAATGTCAGTCGATAATTACAGCAATTAACATTAAAACAAATACTTCAACAGGCTTTTTTCTGACTTGCTCCAACCATCACATTATGAGAGTAAGAATTCCTCTAATCAGACAGGTTTTCTGCATTTGGAGCGACTCAGCTGCTGTAACACCTAAACGCTCAGCAAATTAACTTCATTTAATTTAGAGGAGCTGCCAAACACGGCCTTTGCTTAATGTTATTCTGGAAGATTAAGTGGTTGTCAAAGTTTTCAGTATTCTGATCTAAAACACATTAATTATAAACTTCAGTGGATTACATGTTCAAGTTATTTTTTTTATTGTCATGTACACAACAGTTACAGAGAAGCAGTCCTTGGCAATGCAAGTCTGAGCTCTTAGTCTCCCTCCAACCCTGCTCATTAAATATGTAAAGAAAAATCACAAGTAAAGAAAAGAGAGAATCTAAGACATAATAGTGCAGAAGGTAATGTATGTACTGTATGTATTGAATGGAATAATAGACATGCGTGCATTCATTTCAAAATGAATAAACTAAACACGAATGTAGTAAATTAATATGTGTAAGTAAAACATTGAGAGAAGGAAACCGATGGTAAAACAGTAAGTAGAAGTATAAAAAGTGACGGTATAATAAAAATGACAGTGTTCAAAGAGCTCAAAAGTCTTGTTTCCATACCTGGAAGAGAACTTGCGTATTTGGATGAAATCGTGTTTTTTTCCCCTCAGTTTTCACCCATGAAGAAGGTTAGACCTGCTGCGTCCCAATCGGAAAATCATATCTGACCACCGTATCTGTGGATAGATGGGTAAATAAATAATACAGAAGGAGGAGTAGTGGAAATAGAGGGACAGGTTCTTTATTAATGGATGGCCTCCACCAAAACAGATGGATTGGGGGATGGGAGGGGTGGAAGACGCGGGATGGTGGGCAGGTTTCGTAGGAGTAGGAGTTGAGAGAGGAGCCTTATCATGACGACCGCGTCCAAATTCTGTAGCTGCCTTTTAATGATGGAGGGAAGATGGACCCATGTGAGAGCAAAAGAAAGACCGAGGCCAAATACGGACATGTGCGAAGTGACAGCCTGTCCAAAGTAGTCATAAGAGGTGCTCTCCTCTTTGCTGCCTATACTGTTTCACTCATCTGTCAATCTTGTGTGTGTGTGTGTGTGTGTGTGTGTGTGTGAGAGAGTGAGAGAGCTTGTGTGTGTAAGTGTATCTTAGTGTATTTGTTGGCTGCAGTTTTAAACTCCTGGAGGGTTTTCCCCCTTTCGACTATATATAGGTGCAGAAAATTGCCTCGTAAAAATGGCAATACTTTCAAAGGACTCCATCTCTCCACGTTCCTCACACACACACATGCACACACACAATTCTGATTTCTATAAATCATTTAGTGACACTAATTAGTACTTTTTGTTATCAGAAACTGCCCAGAGCCCCCTATATCTCTGCAGTCTTTCATTTTTCTATTCTGCTCTTCCTTCCTCCCCGGGGGAGACACTTACTCATTCATTTCTTCGCCGCTCGTCTCTCTCTGGACTGGTAATGGGGATTAAAGGCTAATTGAGGCTTAATTGAATAACGGATTAAACACGTGCACGCAGATGTTCTTTCTTGTTTTTTCGTCATTTTGAGGAAATGTACTGTTTTTGTCAGCACGCATAGTGAGAGGTGCATGTTCACACCTTGACCGAGCAGTTGTGAGTTGTTCATTGCTCAAGAGCTTCTGGTCAGTAGTTTATTATGAGCATTACTTGCATCCTTTCTATTCTTTCACAGGTCTTTAGCTTGAATTAAATGTCGATGTGGTGTTTGGAGTCATGAGTGAAAAATGATAGTTTCTTCCCCATTTATTATCTCATATTCTTCAGTTTGCATGATTCTGCTTAGAAATATAAAGTTAACATAAGTTTTTTTTTTAGTTTCCAGTTAATTTTTACATCAACTTGGGTATCCATTTGCCAGTACGAAAGTCTGATGTCCAGAACTTCTATCGGGCTGCTAAAAAAATATCAAACTAATATAAATCAGACCTGAAAGAGAAAAAGTCATTCAGGTTCGGTAAGGTGTTTGACATGACTTCCAAAGTGATATACATAACCGTTTCAGAGCACCAGGAACAGTTTGCACTGTTAGCTGCAAGCCGCCTGCTCAGCCGTCACCATATTGAGAGTTGGTATAGAGCAATGACATGATCACAATTTAGCATTTTGCACCTTTTTAAAATAAGTCAACGTTGATGTTTTTTGGTTTCACACAGGACACTAACAGCCGTCTCCTGGGTGAAAGTCCTGCGTCTGTTTGAACCATCCATCCTCCGTCACCTCCTCCCTATAGGTGGACTTTGTCGCTCTTTATGATACGTCACCCGACTTCCTGGTTTGCTCCCGTCATAATTACTACAGCCACTAGAGGCCGCCACCAAACAAATAAAGCAGGTATGGTTCTTGGAAAGCTGAACGCACAGACCACCTTTACAGATGTTCTTTTCGGGATGGACAGTCTGTGTTGTCACAGGCAAAATAGATGGAGAAAGAACGCTTTTTTTAAATGCGCAATAACTTTAAAAGTTTTACATTTAACTACTGCTACAAAACTATATTTTATGAACTAATCTTTTGTCATTTAAGCCCAGCAGTTTAAAAACATTTCTTTTTTTTTATGAATCCGAGCAATGCAGAGGGAATAAAAACAGTGTTTGTCTTTAATCCAAACCTCTAGGGAGAGGAAGAAGCCATTAGTTGGTCCCATGCAGACAGACCAAAAGGCTGGTTGGCTATTAGATTTCATGGGTGTGAATACAAAGACAGGCAGACAGGCAGACAGACAGACAGACAGACAGAGTGTGATCTCAAGCTGTCTACACTCATTATTATCTCCACATCTCTTCCACTCCCTGCTCTTTCTCTCTCTCCGTCTCTTCTGTTTTTAATGTCGCTGTATCAGACACCTCCACACCACGAGCAGATTGGGAGTCAGCAGGTGTGTGCGTGTGTGTGTGTATAATGTAGTGTTGTGCGTGCAATACTGTGTACGTATGTGTTTTTTGGGTGTGTGTGTGTGTGTGTGGGGGGGGGGGGGGGGTATATATGGCATCACAATTGCCATGGAAACCTGGGCTTGTAATAAAAAAAGTAATTTGGCTGGTTTCCATGGCAACCTGCTACACAATAGCAAACCTAAGGGATGCTGCACTCATCTGCAACAGGGATGGGGAGGACACTTAATATTATATATGAATATATGTAACTGAGTTACCGCAAAAGAGTTGATGTCACGGAATAAAATGTGCATTTTTATGTTGAAAATGAGATATGTATGTGTTCATAATGCTCCTGCAGACAGGTTTTCATGTCTCTCTATATTAAGGCTATTATGAGAAATATCTCTGCCATTATTATTAGATATCATTTTGGTTTTTTTAAGAATACCCATCTTTAAAACCTCAGCAACTTTAACACAGTAGGGAAACACAATGGGGTCGTGAATATTAGAGAGATTAAATGGATAATAAGCTATAAAGCAGCCAGCATTAATGTCGCTGCTGTGATAAATTCCTAGAAATCTCTCCCTGTGTCACACTCGCGCTGTCACTCTCTCGGTGATGACTGACGGTTTGTTTCTCTGCATTGTAGCGGCGCGGAACGGCGAGAGGCGGGGCGAAAAAACGGGGACTCGGAGTGGGTCGCGAGGGGCTGTGCACAAGCGACGGGGAGAGATACAGAAACGGTCCCCGGTTTGAAAGCCGGTGATTGCAGTGACGTGGCTTCCCAACGAGGTGAGCGGTCGCTGATGGGAGAGCAGCCCGGCTCCATCAAACCACCGGGGCGATGAGGAGAGGACGGGACGGACGACAGAAAGCCTTCTGCCGCAGAGGAAACCCAGATTAAAGCTGATTTGACTAACGGCTCTTACCGGCATCCCCCGTGCATGCACGCGGCGTCACCTATCCTGCGACTCGCACATACAGACCCACCCACCACGACCACCCGTCGGGCTGTGTGGTGACTTTGGGTTGAGCTGGACGCGCTGGACAGCCGGCAGGATAAACATCTTTTGGTCTGATTGCGTCTTATGATCTCCGTCATCACCGGGTCGGTCCCCCCGTTCCCCTTTTATTAGGTATGTAGCCTGGCTTCAGGTTAGTGTAACTACTGTGCGTCTTCTGCAACCTGTCCGAGTGCACAAACAGAAACTACTCAAATCATTAGTCAGATTTAGGAGGACGCTTTAAGAGAGCACTTTGGCTCTGCGATTTTTCTGTTGCGCACAGAGCCGAGCAGCTTGCAGAAGGCTGAACGCACCAGTGGCTATTAACTGTAAAGTAGGCTATCAATATGCTTTATTCTAACCGCAGAGCGGAGAAATGCTGGCTCATTTAGCCGCCTTCTGTTCTTTGCGCTATTCCAGCGGATGAGCGAGCCCCGGGGAAAGGGGCGCCACTGTGACCGGAGCAGGGTTGGATTCTCCCCGGCTGGTGACCTCCTGCTCCGGGGGACAAATCCTCCCACCACCTGGCGTCACCTGTCCACCGGCAGACCGAGAGCGACGGAGCCCACCGATGCGTCTGGCAGCCCCTGATGCTCGTCAGTGCTCCGGGGCTTTCCGGTCGGTGGGAGAGGCTCGAGCCGCGGCCGCGCGCTAGAATGCTGCGCCAGGTGTTGCACGCGGGCCTGAGGACCTCCTTCCACGCGCTCGGCCGGTTCGTGGCGAGCCACCCGGTGTTCTTCGCCTCGGCGCCCGTGCTCCTCTCCATCCTGCTGGGGGCCAGCTTCAGCCGGTACCGAGTGGAGGAGGACGTGGAGAGCCTGCTCGCGCCCAAGCACAGCCTGGCCAAGATCGAGGGTAACCTGGTGGACAGCCTGTTCCCCGTGAACCGCTCCAAGCACGCGCTCTACTCCGACCTGCAAACGCCGGGCCGCTACGGGCGCGTGATCGTCACCACCCGAAAGGGGAGCGTGCTGGACCCGGTTCATCTGGACACCATACTAAAGGTATACACGCGCACACACTGACTCTATGCACATATGCAAACAATGTCTAAAAAGTAATTTGCTTCAATGAGCGCTGATAAACAAATGAAGAAACGAAGTCGAATACAAATAATGTGCTTTAAAGTAAGACCATGACTATAATATACAGTAAAAGACAAAATAGCCTTCAACCAGGACAAATGCTTGACATAATTTGAACATTTTGCATGTCTCTCTGAGAGGTATATCTTTAGTTCAAGAACACTCTGGCACACAGAAGTATACTCCCAATAAGTATTCCTTATTTTTATTCCTAAGCACTCAAAAGCTGCTTCGGAAGCTGCTGCGGGCTACTGCCAACTAAAAACACATTTATACACCGAAAATGTAGACTATGTGACAATTTAGCTTCTGTCCCGTTTAAATCACAGTATATGCAACGTAAAAATGAGGCTGCAATGCATCTGCAGAATCCAACTCTAAGAATGAATCAAATATAGTCCCATTCAGAAATGCACACAGAGGTTAGGATCGGTATATCTGTAGGCCGGAGCACATATGCAAGCTGTCTTGCTCCTTATTCTGCGTGATTGATGGGTTTTAAACAGAGCAACACAGTCCCATTTCGAATAAACTCCCGACAACCTTAATGGTTATGAAGCAGCGCATTTTAATTACAAAGTGGAGTTAGCTGCAGCTCGGAGGCCTCTGTCTCATGCGTTGGTTTTTCCTTAATGGATTTATGAGCATTAGTTTGACACCCCTGGAGCAATCAGCCAAATTATATCATGAAGTTATGTTATGTGGATGTAATCAGAGCTTGCAGACTAGTAGCCACATTGTGTTGTGGACTGTGTGTGCCCTCCGTCCATGCATGTATCTGCCTGTGTGTTTGTCACATCTGGTTATTGTGACCCACTTTACACATACCCAAAGCACAGTGTTGGTCCATGGAGGACTGCCACAGTTAAGACTAGTTTAGGGCTTTGCATCATTTACTGCCGAGAGAGAGATAGAGAGAGAGAGAGGTTGGTGCAAGAGGGCGAAAGAGTTGTATAATCATATTATCTGTGAGGTTCAAGACTTCTTCCTTCTCAGCTCGTCTACTCGTGCATCAGTTTGTGAGCCCCTTCGTTTCCCAAAATGCCACCGCTGTGAGAAGAGGGGCTCTGCACTTGTTGCATGAGACAGCAACAGCAGCGATAAACCAGTACTAGACAGGATCACATTCTTAATGTGATTAATTGGTGGCTGTGAAGCATTGTGAGTCAAAACACGCTTCTTGCTCTTCAAAACACGACCACGTTCTTCTGAGAGCTGATTGTTTTGTTCCGATAAAACTGAAATGTCCTCTCATGGTGGAAACACCTTGGCGTGACCCAGTCATCAACAAGAGTCAGTCTGTCGGTCAAGCCAGACTAAAATATCTCAACAACGATCACATGGATTGTCATGAAATTTTGTACAAGCATTCATGGTCCCCAGAGGATGAAGCTTATAGACGTTAGTGATCCCCTGACTTTTCATCTGGCGCCACCATCAGTTGAAAGTGTTCACTTATCCATTATAACATTTTCAACATCTACCAGATGGGTTAGCTCAAAGTAACTGAAAACATCTAATTTTGACTATTATTGCAACTGTGATATGCTTTGCGTTATTAGAAGGAATGATACTTTCACATCATTATTCTCATTTTCATTAAAAACCTATTAATATGGTTATGGTAGGGCTAAAGACGTTTTCTTTAGTCGGTAGAATGTGATGTTAGGACATCTCTGCAGAAAAACAACATTGAATTTAGAATAAGACCCATTTTACCTTTAACAAATATTGCGCCTCCAGCGATTTGTAAAGTTGTAGGAGGCCATATTGAGATTTTGATCAAATTTTGATTAATTGTGCAGCCCTGCAGCCGATTTTAAAGGACGACTCCCACCCTTTGCACAGGGAATTTCAGCTTCTTCCTTGTAGACGGAGGTATACAGTCCCACGGTGTAGAACAAAGCGGTATAAAAACAGCTTTGTTCCAGCAGCCACCACTCAGGTGAACAAATTATAGCAACAGTGCCAGATGCTATAGAAGCAACGTTTGTGTACTTATTTATTTTATTTAGTGATTGACTGATGTGTACTTTTATCATGTTTGTCTTGTTGTCTGTGTTGATTGTAATGTGTGTCGAGATGGATGCCTCGCCTTCTATTGCAAACCAAGTCTACCTACGGGTACAAATAAAAGTAACCTGAACCTGAACCTATTTCCCAGATCATTAATGCTAATAACTTTAGTCAACAACTGAGTTTTCCTCTAGCACCATCATCAGGTTTACATACATTTACCCGTGTTTAAGACCAAATATCTGCAAAACGAATGGCATCCCCATCGGCCCCAGCTGTACTTTGTGTTCATCACTAATTAGCAAATGTGCTACTCTAAGATTTTACCTGCTAAACATCAGCGTGTTAATATTGTGGTCATGAGCACGTTAGCATCCTGACGTTAGCATTATGTTCACGTTGTAGGAGCTAATGTTTTTCTTAAACCCTTTGAAAACCCGAAAAATCACCAATTTGAATATCTAAAAAGAATTTGAAGGTAAAGCTGCAATCCGGTTGCAGATGTTGATAGAGCTGCTATTTTCAATTGCCATCAGTTAACAACCACAAAAAGCTTAAATATTTAATCATATACATAAATTCAATTATGTATGTGAGAATACCTGAAATTAATATACTCAAAAAATAACTGATTGGACCTTATAATGTTAATTTAGCAGTCTGAGGGCACTGTATCGGGAGTCAGAAGGTCCTACCAGGACATATTGGTATCTTTTGGCAGTAAAAAGCGCCAAAAACTGAATGAGGTATTGATACATTTAACAGCATGTCGGTGAATTGAAGCAACTACAAATCATTCATCAAGAGACATTCCTACACACACACACACACACACACACACACACACACACACACACACACACACACACACTCTTACCCTCCCTCTCTGAAGTCAATGCAGCACTCTGAGGTGGGAGACAGCTCTGCCCGTGTTCGCTGTGGCAGAGACTGGCATCGGGCCTGTTGCTTAGTAACCAGCTCTGTGGATGCTGGCACTGTTGTCCTCTCGCCATAGAAACGGAGGAGGATTCTGAGACCACTATTGTTACTCTGTCGAGAAAAGGCACACACGCTCCCACATACCTCTCTTTCATGTCCACACGAAACGGAAAGTCGAAGCACACAAAGTAAGCCAACAAGCCAACACACTGAGTTTTGCTAAATTGGACCACTGGGTAACTTCTTCCTTGTTTTTGTGTTTGCATGTGTGTGTTTTTGTCTGCACGCAGCTCCACCATCGGATCTACCAGATGCAGGTGACGGTCCCGGCCACCGGCGTCAACAGCTTCAACTACTCCTTCTCCTACCTCTGTCTCCCCGACGACAAGAACGTCTGCATCATCGACGACATCATCCGCGCCATGGAGGAGATCCAGTCGGCGCGCACCTCCAACAGCTCCGTCCCGCTCCTGCGGTACCCGATCACGCAGCTGGCAGACGGACGCCAGGCGTACATCGGCCACCAGCTGGGTGGCGTGCAGGGCTGGGGTCCCGGCGGGGCGGCGCGAGGTCCGGGGACGGGAGCCAGGGGAGAAGGTGTGCGATCTGCCAGGGCGCTGCAGCTCACCTACTACCTCCAAGCCCGCGGCGGCCTGATGGACCGGGTGGCCGGCCAATGGGAAAAGGCCTTCTGTGCTGAGTTGCAGCACTTTGCAGCGTTGCACCCTAAACTGGGGCTGTACCCTTCTACTTCCTCTTCTCTGAGGACAGACTTCCAGTTCTCCTCGGTGCTGGCACACCAGCCCCTGTTGGCCAGCTTGGGGGCGTGCAGCGTACTGGCCGTCCTCTGCTGCTCCATGAGGGACTGTGTGAGGTCTAAACCCTGGTTGGGACTGCTGGCTCTGCTGTCGATCACACTGTCAGGCCTCACTGCTGCTGGGATACTCAACCTGACCGGGGCCACCTACAACTCTACGTACCTGGGCATCCCTTTCGTCATGCTTGGTGGGTTTAAAACTAATACTTTTGATGGTTTAAATTCAAAATACACACAACATATATGACATTCTGAGTCTAAATCACTACTGAGTATAATTCTGTATGTCCTTGTCTTCATTCTCCATTTGTCTTGAAATGGCCTTTCAGTTCAGGACATTTTTGAATGTACACATTTTAAGAAGTTATGGTTGTTGAACACATGGAAGTCTTAACATAAAATAAAGAACCTCAATGAAAAACAATGAGTTACAGCCCAGATAAATCAAAGACAAGTGAAGCTAACACATGGCAGGTGTGAGCCACAGTGAACATTGCCATTGCTTTTATATCTCAGACTGCCAGTGTTCACCGTCTGCTTCTTCAATACCTGTGATGGGTTTTGCAGATGCCAGCCTCAGGCGGAATGCCATTTCAATGTAGACAGATCATCAAAATGACTGACAAGTGGCGGGGCATGGCAGAAACTGAAAAAGTAAGTTGTTGAGTTAGGTTTCTTAAACCCTGGAACAAAAATCCAGGGGCTAGAACCAGAAGGTGTCACACTATTTTACATTTAGAAGTGTCCAACTTAAGTTCAAGACGATTTTTAAGGGGTCGGTATGCTTTAAATCATGTGCTTGTTGGATTGTTCACGAGCGTCTGAAAACCCCTCCTGCATATTTCCAACGCCAGAATTGAGGATCTGCGTCCCCACATTTTTGAAACTGTCTGAAACCAAGAAATCTGTCAGAAAATGTGTGTGGCAGCATGCCCGTTTCCAGACGGGGTCGGACGACACATCTTACAGACCATCAGCTGACCTTTTATAGAGGTATTGCAGACTTGACGTGACGACGGTGAGCACATGAGACATGTTGCAGTTTGCATGACCGAAGTAGGCATTCACAAATCAAACGTTTTCTCTCCAGATCCCAAATCAGGGTCTCTCGTCGGATACCAAGTGCAAATCCAATACGAGTGCTCTCTCATTTCTCGATGTAAGGACACATGAGGCGAATTTAATAACGCAATGAAGAATCTTTATTAAATGTGGATCAATCGCACCACATAATGAGGTCATTATAGTCCATGCGGGATGCAGAATTTGTCCAGAGGATTAACTATAATTCATAGAAATATTTCCGACCTCATGTGATGACGTTGACCACGTCATAGTACTCGTGACTAAAGTCCTCAAGGGAGCGCAAATCATTCCCAGTTTATTATAGGAAATAAAATACTTTAATGAGACTGGAGCAGTCTTATTAAAGAGCTGATACATCTGCATCTGTGATAAACTTGAGGTAAATATTATTTGTAATTCCCAAATACATTGATAGTGGTTTGGGTAGCAACCACTGGAAAGCAGGTTAACAAAGCTTTTCTGCTCTTGAATCCACAGTCTCTGCAAACCTTTGTATGCAGAGGCTTCCATGTGGAATAGAGACGATAACATTCATGTCATGTGAGGGAAGTTAGTGATTTAGATTTTTGACGGTGATATTATGATGAAAGGGAATAGAAAACAGAAATAAGTTTAAATTCAGTAAATAGGAATTTAACAAACCAGGAGCAAAAATGCATACCATCTGTGTGAAGGCGTACTTGCAGTTTAGTGCGTGCGTGCATGATCAATGCTGTAGGATGTACTGCATGTAACCACTACTGAACACATGTAGTCTATACCGTAATTACTCTGTAACATGGAGGAGGAAAGGCTGCTGTTAGGCTTAAAATAACCACAGCGAGAACAGAGGAGACAGGAGAATAGAGACCGAGAGGGGGCTTGATGAAATATCACCCCAAATGGGGGGTTGAGATAGGGATTCTCTGAGCAGAAAATGAAGTTAAATGGCAGTTAGAAGGAAGGAGGGCAGGCAGGGAGGGGTTTTCACAATCAAGTAGGCAGACAGAAAAAGGTGGGAGGAAGTGTAAGGCGAGAAGGATTACAATGTATGGAAAGAGGGAGAAATACAGCGTGAGATGTTTAAAAAACGAGGATTTGTGGCAACTATTTGGCGTCTTTCTCTCTCAGGATCAGACAGAGGAAATGTTTTCACGCAGGGGCTTATTAACTTTCAAAGCTGGCACAAATGACAAACTGATGGGAAAGACGACGATTCATAAAAGAGAGAGAGAGAGAAACGATGAGTCATTTAAATCTTCAGAATGTTCTCACTTTCAAGTGTATTTTTAGTTAAGCCTACTTTGTTAAATAGAGAATCTGGTTATTTAAAACAAAAAGAAAAAACATTATAAATATTCCACAATGTGAGATACTAAAAAAATGGTAATGTTTTGTTTTGGTACCAAACCAGGTATCATTATAAGACCAATATTAAAAACTATCCACAGCCAAGGGTTTGTATATCTTCATGTTTGTGTGTGAAACTTTTGCCATATCCAAGAGTTTAAACTGAGTTTGCAGTTTCTGAGATCCGATTTATAATTTAACAGTAACCAGAAGGGTCTGAAAGGCTTCTGACAGAAGGACACGCCCTCATCTTGTGGGTATGTTCTCATGCATTCGTACCTGGCTCAATGTGATGTGAGTGCACATTAGCCCGTCTCACGCTCCTGTAAATATCAAAATCCTTGGACAAATGTTGTCTCGAGCCTCTCGTTTGGCTCACATCTTCTGTCTGCAACATTAACCTCCACACCTCTTCCACTGTCATTCACCGTCTAATTCCCTCCCTTTCAAATACACACACACACACACACACACACACACAAATCAGCACACTTTCTCAAATATACCCACGCCTGAAGTGGCGGCATGTTACGCCTCTGCTAAGGTGTTAAGTGTTTTGCCATGGTGAGGTCAATGGAGGGAGGGGGGGCGGGGGGGGGCACTGGTGACTCATGGATGCCATGGCAACTACGGTAGAGGAAACCATTGAAAACCATCTACTTGCATGTATATAAACATGTATGTGCATGCACATGAGACAAGGACCTGGTACGCTTAAATCCCCTCTAATGGACGCGGTTTGAACCATTGAATGCAGCATCAGAACTGTATTCCTTACATATTATTTGAAGCTACAAATCTATTAATTAAGGAGGCTTTGCTTTTATGCATCTGCTGGGTTATTCATAATAACTTTATGAAAATATACTAATTATTTATCATCTGTATTGACCGGTAAGTTAAATTCTCCTGCAGCTGCAAGTTCTCAACAAGGATTTTTGAAGTCACAAGGAAATTGCTTTGCCACGGTGTCTCACGTCTGTCATTTCCCATATTTGTAGTTCAAACAGGATTGAGGTGCGACATTATGCAGCGAGGACTTGTTCAAAAGCAGGCGGGCTGAGTTATTGCACTTTCTTGTGCAACGTTGTGATTCCTCAAAATTGATAAATTGAAGGACTGCGGGGTGCAATCAAAGCAAGGAAACGGGTTGCTCGGAAATTAGCTAGTTTAGACTGAGAGTCGAATGCAAAAATGTTGGGTTGTAAAATCAAATCAATGAGCTGAAAGAAGCTGAAATTCTCAACAGTGCTTCAGGAAAGGGCAGGCTTAATAATTATCTGTGGATTCATCATTGCGAGCAACTCCCCCCCCAACCAAACTATTGATTTTGTTCAGCTCACATTCCTATTTGTTTCCCATCAGGTCACGGGCTCTTTGGCTCCTTTGAGATGCTGTCCTCATGGAGACGAACCCGTGAGGACCAGCATGTGAAGGAGCGCGTGGCGAGTGTCTTCGAGGACGTCATGCTGCGGTTCTCCGGCTCCACCATGCTCCACCTGATGACCCTGGGCCTGGCCGCCTCGCCACTCACCAACATGGAGGCCGTCCGGCTCTTCTGCCGCACCGCCGCCTTGGCCGTCACCATCAGCTATGTTTACATGTTGTCCTTCTACAGCTCCTGTCTGGTGTTCACTGGATACCTAGAGACCGGGTACAGACACGGCTGCTTCTGCCGGCGGGTCCCCAAACCGGACCGGCTGGACTCTAAACCGGCCTGGTACAGGTGTCTCATGTACACTCGCTACCAGGATGAGGCTCCAACGACCAACGCACCACACGTGGTCGGTCACAGTCACGCCCACACGCCGAACTCCAACCCACCACATGGGGTCGTTCACAGTCACGCCCACACGCCGAACTCCAACCCACCACACGGGGTCGTTCACAGTCACGCCCACACGCTGAACTCCAACCCACCACACGGGGTCGTTCACAGTCACGCCCACACGCCGAACTCCAACCCACCACACGGGGTCGTTCACAGTCACGCCCACACGCCGAACTCCAACCTCACACACACGCACTCGCGCACACACACGCACGAGGCGAACAACCCAGCGACGGATGGACACGTCACTAACTCCACAAACGCACATCCACACCTGCACACGCATCTGACAGCGAGCACGGACCCTAATCCTCAGGACTCTCACCTTTTGCTGGGGTGTGTGAGGCGCTGCTACGGCGACTGGATCACTAACACCTATGTCAAACCCTTTGTGGTTCTGCTGTATCTGGTTTACATCTCCTTTGGATTGATGGGCTTCCTGCAGGTGAGGAAACAATACAACAAATACAACTGTCATTTTGTTTAGACAGTTTATGGTTCGTTATCGCTCTCCGCAATATCTATATTTTAACCACATTCGTGTCATTCGTGATCCTTGTCGTAGGACAGTGTGGGGGATTTTATTGGACAAAAGGTTAACGTGACTGCAAGTTAAGGGGCTGTGTAATATTAACTAACAAAAGAAACTATTTTCTAAATGAAACATGCAAGAATCAGCATGAAACCTTCAGAATAAAAGCTGCATGTCATTCATGTAAACTGACCAGTACACTTGAATTTCACCCAAAAGCTCCAGAAGTTGTAGCATTTTGAAATGTAGTTTCATGATTTGTGAAATAACAATGGCATTGTATGTAATTTAGACAGACTCACTACATTTAAAAAAAGAAAAGAAATCGGCAGGCGAGTATACAGTATATTATAATATTGTCGCAATTTATTGATCAGTGCTTTCATTTCACTTAACTTAGGACCATCGCTAGATTTGTGTCATAAAATTCATTTTCTTTCCAAATTTAAGGAGACCACTGATTACCTGGTATGTCTTACAGATTACTGTTGAATATTATGGTATAAGAATACTTCACCTTTTACAATGACTGTATTTATTTGCAGCGTGCCTACACAAGCATGAGACGGTAGTGGAGGAAGTGAGACTTTCGTGAAAATGCATGTGTTTGGGAAGTAGTGAGCCTCAGACTGGATAAACAAGACTTCGAAGTTTTCTTCAAGAATTCAAGGAGACATGGCATGACTCATTTTGTTAGTTGTCCTCAGCTTGTCTGGTCACTACGTGGCAGCAGTGGGGATAGTATCATGTGAAAAAGAGATACCAGTGCATACTCATACTATATAAACATATGAATAAAAGCCAAAATGCTCTGTTTAACCCGTGGCAAATATGTTTCTGTTATCGGCAGGTGACCCAGGGTTCGGACCCCAGTGCACTGGTGGCCATGGATACAGCGACAGTCTTGTACACCCGCGCCCAGCAGCGCTACTTCAGCTCATACTCTCCCGTCATTGGATTTTACATCTACGAAAGCGCCCCCTACTGGAACGCCTCAGTGCAGCGGGACCTGCTGGAATACGCCAAAGGTTTCCAGCGAATCAGCTGGCTGGAGGCTTACCTGAACTACCTGTCGGATCGCAACCAGTCCACCAGCCAGCCGCGGGAAAACTTCACCAACACGCTCCGCCACGCCTTCCTCCGCGAGCCGCAGTTCGCCCACTTCGCCGATGACATCATATTTGCGGAGCGCGGTCAGGGCGAGGAGCCCGACGTGGCCGCGTCCCGAATCTTCCTGGTGGCCAAGACGACGGAGAACAAGCGCGAGGAGATGTCTGTGCTGCTGGACACGCTGCGACGCCTGTCGCTGACCTCGCGCGTCCGCTTCCTGATCTTCAACCCCTCCTTCGTCTACCTGGACCGCTACGCCGCGGCGGTCAGCTCCCCCCTCAGACACTCACTGCTGGCGGTGCTCTTCCTGTTGGGTCTGTCCTCGCTGGCCGTCGTGGAGCCACTCGTCTCCGTGTGGCTGGGCCTCACGCTGCTCTCCGTCCAGTTCGGGGTGCTGGGCTTCATGACCTTGTGGGGTGTGGAGTTGGACTGCATGTCCGTGTTGTGTCTGATCTCGGCCCTGGGACACTCGGCAGACTGCAGCGGCCCCCTCCTCTGCGGTTTCTCCTCGGGTCGGGGCGAAAGCAGGACTCGCTGGGTGAGGGTGGCGCTGGAGAGACACGGGGTTCCCTCCCTGCAGACGCTCATCTGCTACGGCGCCGCCCTGGTGCCCGTTGGCTCCATACGCTCTAACCTCACACACACACTGTTCCGCTGCCTCACCCTCACGGCGGGCTGCTCCGCCCTGCACACGCTGGCATTCCTGCCCACCCTCCTCACCTTCCTGCCTCCCTCCAAGAGCCCGGGGCAGCGGCCCGACGGAGAGGCGCAGAGACAGGAGGTGGAGTGCGTTGAAATGAACGACAGCACGCGAGTGGTCGACCAGATCACCACTGTCTGAGCATGGGATGATGTTGTTTTATTTATTTATTTATTTCTGGCCTCTTTGTTGCTATGGTGACAGTCGGCTGGGAGTTGGCTCACTGTAGTCTGAGCAGCCGCTCTGCATCTGCAGACAAGAATGCCGATCCTCGTGAGGAGGAACAGAGGAGGAAAAAGGAGTGTCACTAAGAGAGAGACGGGAAGAAACCTAGAAGTAGAGGGTCAAGAGGAAATGGTAAAAGGAGAGAGAGAGGGGGGGGGGGGTTAGTGAAGACAAAAGAGAGAGACCGGTTTCCAATGCAGTGTATCCATGGTTACCTGCTTGTTTCTAGTGCTGCGTGGCATGCGAATGAGCTCTTTCCCAAACAGCCAATCAGAAGTAGGAATCAGAAGGATCAGCTGAGGTCAGGCCTGGCTGTGACGGTATCACAGAGGGAAGTGTCAAATCTTTTTTTCACGTGTCCAGAAGTCGCTTTAGATCTGATCCCACTGTTTTGCTACTGCTTTCTGTTCACCATATCAAGTTGCACAAATACAGCTACAATGACATGAGGCAATCATCTGTATGACTCGAGTGTTTCTACTTTAATGCCGGACAAATAAAGTCAAGTTAAGAAAACGTGTTTGTAAGTGGTTTGGCTTTTGATGCAGGTTGTAATATTTTTTTAGTTACGTGGGAAACAAACAGTACGGTCACTGCTAGTGTTTTTAGATGGAACCGTTTGCAACATTTGCCGTGTTTGTAACTTAAATATCACGGGTCGTAAATTGCATTTCAACCATTCAAGCACTCACAGCGCATCTGAAGAAAGAACGGGTTCGGATAATCATGACTTTAACCTTTTCAGAATGTCTTTGAGGTCAAATCTAAGTGCTGAAGTGATGCCAAATCAGATACAAAAAATACTGCTGCAACTATGTTGAAACATACTCTGCTTGAGCGGTATTACAGTATACCAGGGTATGTAGGAATCCAGACTGTATGATTTTCAATACAGTCATGAATGCATACGCTCCGCTTACTGTGATGCTGTATTGATGTGATGTATTGTAGTGCACAGCACGCGCCACCAGAGGTCCGTCTTTGTGGTTGAACCAGCAGCTGAGCTCAGAAAGATGGCGACTCGAGTGCTTTTGTAGTTTGAAGAAGATATATACCAAAACGGTCCATAGCCTCGTGATTTTATCCAACTGCCAAGTCTGCCACCATATTCATATCATCTATATGATCATATATTCATATGTGCGCCGTAACATTAGCGAGTGAACGTAGCAGTACAGCGGGTGTGCTGTTTAGGTCATTTGTCAGTGAATTAATGCTTCAACTCCCATGTATTGCTTTCCACCTGCTGCTGATTAAAGTAAAGGGGGTAAGCCCCAAAGGTAGGGGGTGGCTTTATTTTTTATCATTTAATGACAAGCCACACTTTAGAGTTTTACCCAAAAAATTAAAAATAATTGCAAAAAAATTGAATTCTTTGTTTTTGTTATATCAAAAAATCCAATCATTTCTGTAAAACAAAATATGACAATTTCACCCAATAACATGACATTCATCCATCCATCAATCAGCTTAATGCGACACGGGAGGTGTGTGTTCGCTGGAACTTTAATTTCCTCTTTCCTCTTCTTTCCACAGAAGAAATAGTCCCTATGAAAACTCTCGACAGTGAGTTCTGGACCCTTTTTTCCTAATTACCCATAATGCTCAAATCAATGCTTCCAAACACCAGAGTCTTTTATCTCTCAGTTCTGCTAATGATGCTTGTATGGGCAGGTTAACCCGGCTCTCTTGGACAACTATAGTGACTGAGTACTATGTGGGCCTGACATTTAGCCCATAGCCTCACCAGGTAGGATTCATTACAGCCCTTCCCGAGACAGACCAGTAAACCTGCTTCACAAACTGAAAGCAAATCAAATCTCTCTCGTTTCAGTACAGTAGTGCAGTATATAGACATGAACTATTCTGGCGCCATATACAGGAGGCCTTACTAGGTAACAGGTATCAGTCAGAGCTTTAAGTGATGATTTATAATATGGCCTATGACACCTAAACTACCATTTCTCCTTGTCTCCTTCTTTATTGCACAAATCGTTTTGAATGAAATGTATTGAATGCTTTGTTATCTTTCAACCTCCTGCGATTCTCCCTCATGAAGGCAAAGGCTCTTGTTGCCTTTTGCTCTTTTATTCCTGGATTCATCTCAGTAGTTGAAGGTCTCAGTGTGTGGGAGTGCTTCCTATTGTTAATCTATGCTCCTCACTGACACTTGCCTGAATGAAAGCATTGTTCCCGCTCTGTGTGCAGGCGCCACGACCGTTGGTAAGACGACGGCGGGAAGATCCCTCGCCAGATTCCCAATCACGAGCGTCGCCAGTTGGTTTTCTTAGGATCACATGCACGACCGCCAAGCTGGTGGGACCACTAACTGTGTGCTGCGTCATCTTTTGCCAAAAACATGGTAGTTGGACTACTACAGGGCTGAATACAGGTCTGTCCAAATATGATCCGCACACTGCTCTGGAGCATGTTCTGCAGAAACGGTAGATTGTAAGAAAGCGTGAACTTTCTGGGAAAATGACACTTCTTGGTGGATCTAAAAAGTCTGTATTCAAAACCAGTCCTGCAAAAATAAAACTTCTCTCCATAACCAACAGCCAGTTGGTTCACACTTAAGATTGAGCCCACAGGGTAGAAAAACACAGGACGTGGCGAGACGGCCAGAAACCACTAACACCTCCCACGCTCAATCGTGCTGTCAATCCAAATGTAGCTCGCTGCTGCTACCGCTGTGGTCGCTGTTTAGGTCCACAAGTACAGTAGGAGCTGTGGAGCTGCATGCCGGATGTAGAATAAAGATTTACAATTGACATTTGTAAGTTTAGTTTTGAGTTCTTCTGTTTATTTTTGTTATAGCTGATATTGAGTTAGTGACAAACTGTTGAGTGTTTATTTGTAGTAATTGTGTTATGTCCACCCTTCTTTTGTTTAATTGGTTTGGCCAGCCAGTAAATATGTTCCCCCTGTTTGTCATTTAGAAAGGACAGTTTGGTCTTTGTTGGGGTTTAAGAAATCTCCTCCTGTTGCCCTTCAATTTGATGTATTTTGAGTTCAGCTCTATTTTGTTGACCTCCTTTAGGGCCCAATATAGTAAAAAAATGTTTACTTTGCTCTTTTTAATTTTGGAGGCTGAATAAAAAATACAAAAACCTTGCCATGCAGCTATAAGAATATCGCAATATCATGGTAAAAACAGCTTAGTGCAGAATTGTGTGCACTGAACCTCAATTAATCTCAGTCCATCAATCCACGATTAGGGGTCCTTCTCAATACACTTAAGACAACTAGCTCCGACCGTAGCGCTCTTAGCCTCGAACAATATATTCTGCTACCTGTTGAAGAGTGACAGCAGTTGTTTCGGCATGACGGTGTGTGAAAAATTCATATCATACGGGAAATTACCGGTTGAACCGGTATACCACCCAGCACTACAACAACTGAATCTTTTCTCTGGTTTATCTGGTTGCGATACAGGTAAAGTTATTGATCCTGTATGAACTATGTGAGCAGGTAAGGGGATGTCCCTCAGGGAGATTTTGGCAGGACACTCAGGTCATGCTGAAACTCAATATAGGTGACCTTTCTGGACAGGAGTGTCTGACTGCTAATTCCTTGCCGACTCCTAGACCCTGGTTCAAGTTCAGATGTGTCTCGGGTGATTGGATCACAAGTGGACAGCGCTAAACACTATAGTGTAAGATTCATTGTAATCTGATCACTCGGAACACTTGGCGAGGTTGACTGGGACACATTGGACCACATATCTTTTGTAGTGTCAACGCTAATGCGTCCTGATGTGTCCCCGCCAAGGACGTAATGGGAAAATGCGTCATCAAAGCTTTTCCCTCCCTTTGTTCCTGCTCTGTCTCATCTCCAGTTTGTTCTCAAATCTCATAAGTTAAATTTATCCACGATGTCTAAAAAAAATGAAGAAAGACCCGAGAGATCTATTTCAAGTGCGTCAAATATCTTGGGCAGTTTGGTTTGGCTGGAACACGTGAATAAATATTTGATTTCTTCACCTTTTAATTTCTGGCAGACTAGGACATGCTGCCTCCAGTGGGTTGAATGTCAAAGTGTTTTTGGGCAAGAGTGTGCTTGAGTGTTTACCACTCCTGATAAGAGGATGGCACCATGTATGGCAGCCAATGCTACAAGTGAATGACTGTGTGTGAATGGGTTAGTGCTTTGTGTTGTAAAGTGGTTGCCAAGACTAGAAATGTGCTGTTTCAATGCAAGTCTGTTCACTATTTGTGATCAGATCAGCCAAGGTGTTAAAGGTTTAAACAGGGCCCTAGAGACCGGTAGATGGAATATATTGTCTTATCATGACATTTGCATATTCAAAGCTCTCTATTATAAACAGACAAGATGCTCTACATTCCTCCTTGGAGTAGAAAAGGACATTTTTGTCAAGCCTTGAGGAGTTTTAAGTTTGAATAGTTGCAGAAAAGAGAAGAGAGGTAAAAGATTTCCGGTGGGATTTTGATTCGTTTGAGCATGAACTGTGCTCAAACACACACACACACACACACACACACACACACACACACACACACACACACACACACACACATACAGACTGAAAATAACTCGCCTAAAAAGTGCTGTGTCACTGAAGAAGAGCAGTAACATGCTGCAGTTCTGCTCCGCTCCACTGATCTGATACTGTTTTATTACCCCTCAGTAAAAATGAACAAAGGCTGACACTTGATATGTAGTGGAGAAAAAAAACATCCGCTGTAGTCTTTATTGCCCCCTTGTGGCCAATAGTTAACTACTTAATTATCCAGATGCCTCCACACACACACACACACACACACACACACACACACACACACACAGACACAGTCAAGTAAAGACACACTGAGATTCGAGTGTTGCCCTGAGGCTGCTCTTGTCTTGTTTGTTCATTTTACGTCTGACGTCAGATGCCATTCTTCAAATTCACAGCCTCGCCGTCGGTGTGTGTGAAAGAGAGAAGATGTTTGACTGGTTTGTCTACCTGCATCCGATATTTCATACTTGAGCCTACCGTGTCATTTTTGCAATTTGCTGCAACACACGTACTTTTCTACAGACACAGACACACACACACACCTACACAGACACCTACACACACCTACACACACACACACACACATACACACACACACACACACACACACACACACCAGATAAAGGCTAATACCCTGTCCAGGAACTGTCTGGTCCTGCATCCTGTAATACCAGCTGCTGCCCTCCAGTCATACTGGGAGAGAAAAAACACATAAACGATAGATATATATATGATAGATAGAAAGATAGTGTACTATCTCTGTCTGTCTCTGCCCTCCTCCTTCTCCTCTGGAGGTGTGTCATTACTTGGTGCACTGTCACATTTAAAAAAATTCTGATTTCCTGAACACACCTTGACACGCTCTCCTACGCACACACACACACACACCTGATGCTACAGACGATGTGCTTGTGTAAGAGGCAGGTGTGTACGGAACATAAGAGGGAGATCAACTGAGGACAGAGGAGAGAAGAAGAAGAGAAGAAAACACAGAGAAGCCGTGAAGGACGCTTCAATGGTGGCAGTTTTTTGACTCATCACTGACGGATGAATGATATTTTGGAAATTATGGAGAGACGTGTGCACATTTGCATGCATTCACACCCGTGAACCTACATAGATTCTGCACATTCTTCTGAAAAGCATAAGGTAAGCAAAAAGAAAATAACTCAATGGCACTTTTAATATTTTGTCTGAAGATGTTAACATATGACAGTCTGTGGATCGCTCATTTAAAGAGGTTTTGATACAAACAATTGTAAGTTTCTTGACACTGTTTTGTTTCACTGTTTTGCGCTCACATATAGAAAGTCAGACTGGGAACATGAGATTAGGAATGACAATAACAATATGGCTTTTCTGTAGCCCTCGAGGCTTCAACAGGTGCCTTTCATTTCAGACACAACATACGATGATCACGTCCTAACAGACGCAGACAATTCACATGTATGATGAGACGGTTTAAGCTTCCTTAAGCAGCACTACAATCATGATTTTAAATGTAACTAGTCTTACCCAGAGAACAGACGTGTACTAGTAATGCTTGTCTCTCGTGGGTCACAGTAAACAATGTTTCCCCACTAAAGTCTTTAATCTTAATCCGTTTTGTATCAAAGGTTTTCAGATATTTGTAGATCAGATCAGTCCGGGAACAAAATAAAGCAACACCGCGGTGAAGAATGATGGACTTTGACACTTTATACAAATGGCGCTCGTGCTACATACTTCAGCCGGAAAACCCTGACGATCCACATTTTATCGACAAGGCTTGATTGCAGACACTCCCTTTTAATACAGTGCCATTAGCTCATTACGTGTCCTGTCACATGTTTTTTTAATGAGCAGGTTTCCTTGAAAGGAAGAGGA